ACACACACACACACACACACACACACACACACACACACACACACACAAAGCTGGGCCACAGGGTCTCTCTCGTACCTAGTAAGGGCATGGGTTTAAGCATATATTCATATATGTATATGGTATGTACACAAATACACATATATACATATATAGAGAGATGCATATGGATATATACATACACATATATATACACACACACATATAAAATAACCTACTATGTATCAGGCACTGTGCTAAGAGTTTTTTACAAATATTACCTCATTTGATCCTCACAACAACCCTGAATGGTGCTATCATTCCCTTTTTACAGTTGAGGAAACTGAAGCAAACAGAGGTGGAGTGACTTGCCCAGGGTCACACATCTAATAAACGTCTGAGGCCTGACTCCAGGCCCAGGGCTCTATCCACTTTGCCACCAGTCGCCGCCATGAAAGTAGCTGAACTTGAATTGTTGAAAAGAAAAAAACAAAACAAAACAAAACACCTGAACTCGAAAGAGCACATTGGAAATCAATCACATCTTGTCCCCTGAAGCTGGGGGATTTTGGAATCTCTGGACTCAGGCCACTCTCTGTCAGCTAGCCTGGCCCCAGCTTCTGCCAGAGCTGCCTGCCTATGAGACTGGGTGAGCATCATTTTCCTGTAGAACTTCTTTCCTTACCTTGGGGGGCCTCTCCTTCTTTTGTGGATTTCCTGAGGGGGTTATATTAGACATTGGAACAAGCATCCTATGACACCTTTTGGAACTCCTTTCCCTTGGCCTCCAAGAGCTCAAAGTTGATAGGATACAGAAACCATCTATGCAAACCTCCCCCCACCCCCAATTTCACAGAAGAGTAAACTGAGTTCCAAATAAGAGAAATGACTAGTCCAAGGCCACACAGACAACAAATAGCAAAGTTGGGATCTAAAGGACCTGTGAACTCCAAATTCACTGTTTGCCTCTTTGTGTTCACACTAATCATTTACCCCCGGTGGGGTCCCTCCCCTCTTTCTCTGTGCTGCTCCTCTCTCCACGCCCCTCACACTCACCCATATTTACGAAGCTCATGACCATGTCAGCATGGCTGATGACCCGTTCCAGAGGAGGGCTCTGGGTGCTCAGACTGGTCAGCACAGGCCTGGAGACCCCACGGCCCCAGGCCACATCTGCATCATCACTGCCTTGCCCATCTTCCTCTTCACTGGCCATGGCATGGTACAGGTCCAACATGAAGAGTGGGGCTGAAGATGGCAGCTTAGCTCCTGGGGGGGGCCTGGGCCGGGGGCGGCCTGGCAACCCCAAGATGGACAGGATCTCCCGTTGCATTTCCCGCTTCTCCCAGCCACTGAGTCTCCTCTGGAGGAAGCTGGAGGTGTGGAGATAATTCCCATGGAAGCTGCTGCTGCCCAGCTCCCACAGCAAAAGTCCCAGGAGCCAGAGCAGGGCCATTCCACCGAGGGGCCCCCTGGAGAAGAGTTTCATGGTCCTGCTGGTCTGCCCCTGTCCTGCTGCCAGACCTGGCTGCTCTGCCCTTGCTCCACTCTCCCCCTCCCCTTGCCTCCTTTCTGTTGCAGCTGAGCTATGCAAGGGCAGAGTCTGAGGGATTTAACTGGGGGTGAAAGGGATGGATCACAAGAGGTCCATTCACGGATGGGCTTTGAAATCAAGAACTAGGAATTGAAATGTTTTGTTAAAAAATAAACTAAAGTGTGAAGACTTATGGGAAATAAAAAAAAAAGGAAATCCTGAAGCCTGTGAAATAAAATTAAAATGGAAACAGTCTCCAAGGGTCAAGGGAGGCTGCCTGGTGATCACACTCTGCCTCTGACAAATAACCTGAGGGACCCAGAAGAGCCTGGAGTCAGTTTTCTTCCCTTAAAAGTTCCTCTGAAGTTGGGGAAAGCCGCTTTTGCTACTTTCCTGGAGGTCCTGTGGGCGGTTTTTTCTAGATGGACGGACAAGTCACCGCGAGCATAGCAGAGCAGGGACTGAGCCTCAGCCCAGAGATTCTCCCAAATACTCTCAGGAACCACGACCGAGGGAGGGGAGGTGGGAAGGAGGGAGGGAGAAAGGAAGGAGAGGAGAGAAAGGAGAGGGGAAGAGAGTTGAGTCACGAGAGGGTGGAAGAGAGGCAGGTGGGAGAGAACAGCAAGAGACAGGCAGTAGGGAAAAGAGGGAGAGAGGGAGAGACAGACAGACAGACAGGCACAGTGATACAGACTGGGATACAGAGAAAAAAGGAGGAGAGAGACAGGAGGCAAAAGGGAAACACGGCTAGTTTAAAAAGAGAAACGGAGACTGAAGAAAATAAGAAATAAGGAAAGCCTGGCAGCGCCAGGAGGAGAAGAATGAAGGCAGAGCCAGAAGCCGTCCCCTGCCTCAGCGTCGCTCCCCAGCGCCGTCCGCCCGCAGCTGCGTCCTCAGCTGGACCCACCGCGCTCTGTTTGGAGCCGTGCTGTTGCGGGGTCGGGCGTGTCCCGCGAGGTCGGGGCCTCCCGCAGAGCCCCGAGGGGCAGCAGGGGCAGCACTCGAGGTCTCTTCGTCTCCGCCGTCGAAGTCTGTCTCTGGCTCCCCAGCTGGCCTCGAGGCTCGAGGGCGAAGGTGCCGGCTCGGGGTGGGGCGGAGGCGTGGCGGGAGGACTGGGGGCGGGGGTCGGAGCCACCGCGCTACCTGCCTCGGACCGTCAGTCCGTCCGTCAGTCTGTCCCTCCCGTCGGTGCACCCACGCCTCCTCTGAGCCCGGTCCCCGCCCTCCGGTCGGCTCCTCCTCTCTCTCTCTGTGTCCAGCCCGGACGTGGGGGTCTCCCGGCTCACTGCGCAGAACGAGGGCCCTGGACACGGAGGGCAGGCGTCTGAGGACGAGTTCGTGGGTCCCCTGCTCCGTCCCGCGCTGCGCCCGCAGGCTGGTGCGGAGCCGAGCCCGAGGCGGACGCCCTGGCAGCCATGCGCAGCTGCCCCGGGGCCGCGGTGCCAGACTGGACAGGCGTTCGCTCCCACGGTGAATGGCTCGGCGCCTGCCTCGGCCCGAGACGGGGTTAAACCCAAGGCTGGGCCGGGAGGGAGGCGTCGTCCCTGCTCCCGCTCCCGCTCTCCAGCACGGAAGCTCGCCCGAGCCCGCAGGGCACGCTGACCAGCGCGCCTTGGACGGTCTGAAGCTTCTTTATTTTCTTATATTTTCGGTATCTACAATAGACCAAAGAGCAAAACCTACTTTAAAGTAGAGCCAAGCTTCTTGCCAAAGGGCAAGCTGACCAGCTCAAGGTCCCCAAGGACGCTCGGGGCGTGGGGCTGTGCTGGGATGCCAGCTGTTGCCAAGTGTAGCCAGCTGTTCCCAGCTGTGATTGGGGGCTTCGCAGGCGCCTCTGCCCCCTCCTGGACATCCCTGGGCCGGCCGCATCTGCCCTCTCCCTTTGCTTACGCTCCTCTGTAGAGCCTTCTCCGTGAAAACCCTTCCACAAAAAAAGCCTTCCTATGTACTTTGTACCCAGGAATCCGGAAATTAGCACGTGAAGATCAATGTGCAGCCTGTCCCTTGAGCTCAACAGGGATCAGGGACCAGGATCATGCTCAGACCTCAGAGGGCATTTAGTCTAGTTCAATCTGCAATTCCTACTTCGTCCCATTCAGTCTCCCTTCAAAGACTTCCATTGACGGGGAGCTAATCATCTAGGAGCTAAGAATAGGTTCTTGGATCCCTCCCTGATTGTGGAGAAGTTTTTCACTGTTCCATGGCGTTGGCTGTCATCAATGCGGGCGCTTCCTCCAGACATTCAAAGGAACTGTGAGAAAAGTGCTCCGTTTGGATCCTGAGGACCTGGGTTCAAATGCTAGCTCTGTCAGTAGCTGTGAAACCTCCAGCAAATCCTTTCTCTTCTCTGAGTTTCAGTTTCCTCATCAATAACTAGATGACTGGATGACCTCAAAGGTCCCTTCCAACTGGAGCTGGAAGGGATCCTATGCTGGGACCTGGGCCCTCTTAAGCCCTCCACCGGCAGGTTGCTCAGCACATCTGTCTAGATGTTGAGACATGGCATGGGCAGGGACTGTCCATGGGTCATTGCCCCATAAGCAGCTTACTCCATTTCTCTTCGTGTATTTCTCCGATATATTTTATACCACTTTTCTTCATATCAAGACTAAATCTTTTCCCCTGCAATTAATTCTCTGGTGCCACGTAGGCAAAGTCTGATTCTTCGGTTCTAGCACGGTCTTGCAGATAATTTGAAGATAAGTATCATTCCTCCTCCTCCTTCTTTCTCTGTATCTTTGTCTCTGTCTCTCGCTGTCCCTGTGTCTTGTCTGTGTGTGTCTCTCTCTTTGTCCCTGTGTCTCTCTGTGTCTGTTTCTTTCTCTCTCCCCGTCTTTCCCCACCCGTTTCCTCCCAGTCTTTTCTTTTCAAAGCTACACTCTCTGAATCCTTCTAGGGGTTCGATCTCTGACCTAAATCATTGCACTTTTGTGCTATATTTTCTTAGATGCACTGAGAGCCTATTTAAAATTCAAACAAAAGGTTTCCAAAGTAAAGTCATTGTGGACCTCCCAGGGCATAACAGGCCAGAGGCTGCCCCAGATGCAATCTCCAATCAACTTTAACCTGCAGGTGGAATTTACATAGCAGCGCTGCCCTCATCCCATACAAAGCTTACAGGAGAAGCAGGTAACCCTGCCTCCTGAAAGTACCAGTCTAGAAGGAAATCAGATATTCTTATATACGAGGTTACCATGAGAGGTACAGTGTTCTGTGAAGTCCCAGGGAAGGTGGTCACAGAAGAGATGGGAACATGTTGGAACAGGGCAGACTTCTGGAGGAGGTGGGATTTTAGTTGGGCCTTAAAGAATGGTTCACTTTATGTAAGTTTTCTTTCGTTTGAGTCTTGCAACAACCCCGAGTGTTGGCATTATTATTAACAAGCATTATCTCAATTTTACAGAGGAAAGGGAGGCTCAGGGATGTTTGATGCCTTGCCTATGGTCACAAAGGTGGGCTTTCTGACTCTAGGTCCTCAGCTCCACTCACTGCATCACACTGCCTCCTCACAAGCCACTTTAATTATGTTTCCAAGTTGCTTCATGTAAATGTCATGTCTCCTCAACTAGACTGTAAAGAGCCTGAGGCAGAACCTAACTCATTATTGTAAAAGGATTCATGTGGAATTGGGCTGCAGCTGAGACAGTTGTATTTTTAAATGACAGAATGTGCATTTTCATAAACCGAAGCAGGAGGGAGTTTGGGACCCACAAATTCCCTGGGCATTTTTGTGGTCTTAACAGAGCTAGATTTCCAAGAGATTGGGGAAGGGGGTTATGGGGGTGGAGGGAACCCAAATTAAAACTAGCTTCGGAATCTCATCCTGGTTTGGCAGAATCAGTCTGGTCCATCCAGCTTGGCTCCTCATGTCACCTGCTTCAACCCCACAACCAACTTTATGTTATGGCCAATGTTATTCCAAAGATGTGAATTTAGTTTCAATGGTAGTGTCATGGGAACCTTTCACTAAGAGCTTCTGGAATAAATGGATTGGCAAGTAGGCAAAAAAATCTATTAGAAATGTCATAGGAACCACTGAATATCAGGGCCTTTCACCATGCTTTCTGATAACTGTCACTCCATCCTTCCTAGATATTAGATTCCAGTCAGAAGGGACTAACAGGAATTTAATAATGCTAATAGTTGGCGTTTATACAGTGCTTTGGGATAGTGAGATAGCTCAGTGGATAGAGCACTGGGCCTGGAGTCGAGAAGATCTGAGTTCAAATTGACCTCAGACACTTGCTAGCTGTGTGACCCGGGGCAAGTCATTTAATCTTGCTTACCTCAGTTTCCTCATCTGTAAAATGAACCAGACAAGGAAATGGCAAATATTTGTGAAGAAAACCCCAAATGGAAAAGTCAGTCACAACTGAAAAATGACTGAAAATAGCGCTTTGAGGTTTGCAAAGTGCTTCTTTGATCCCTAGAACAACCTTGGAAAGCAGGCGCTGGTATTATCCCTGTTTTACAGATGAGGAAACTGAGGCAAGCAGAAGTGAAGTGACTTGTCCAGAGTCACAAAGTTAATGAGTCTGAGGTCAGGTTTGAACTCAGATCTTCTCAATTCCAGCACTCTGCTCATTGTACGGCCTCATTCCCTCCAGAATTGAAAGAGCCCTAGTCCAGCTTCCACTCCCCCATTTTGCTGAAGAGAAGAGTGAGGTTCATACAAGTGAAGTGAATTCTCCAAGATCAAACAGATACAAGCACGGGAGCCTGGATTCACATGCAGGCCTCTGAATCTCAATCTGTTGCTGCTCCCTTTCCATAAAGCCAGAATTTCCTTTTCAAAATCCCTGAGAAGTGGGCACCCAATTGGTCTTCAGTTGAAGATCTCTACTGATGGGGAACTCATTAGCTCTTGAGACAGAGGATTCTACTTTGAGGCAACTCTAATTGTTAGTAAGTTTTTCCTTAGATAGGACTGAGCTGAATTCCTGTAATTCCCCAAGTCAGAGTCCTCTTTCACATTCTGGTCCAAACATAACTGTCCAGTCCTGCCACCATTTTCCTCCCCCATTTCCCCACTCCAGCTTTCTCCTACATGAATTGACCCGAATTGGCATTTTTTGATGGCTTGGTGGATAAGAATGCAGAACTCTGAAACTTCTTGGCTTTGAATGGGGACTCAGACACTTATTTGAATGACCTTGGGGAAGGCATTGAGCCTCTTAGAGCCTTATCAGTAAAATGGGGACAATACTTGCAGCAGTTACCAGCACAGGGCTGTTGGGAGGATTAGGAGAGAATGTCCATAAAATGCTTTGGAAACATTAAAGTACTATATAAATTTCACTATTATCAATCTGTGGTGGGTTTAAGCGATAGCTGACAGCTGATAGCTTGGAGGGAACATTGGGATATTAAAATGGTGTTTACTGATGCCTGTGATCAGTGGTGTTAACTGTTGGAATTTTACATTTTCTGATGTGCTGAACTCCTCCACAAGGAATGGAGCTAAATGAGCAAGCCCTTCTAGAGAACAGAAGGACCAACCCTGGGTGTGAGAAATCCTTTCTTGTCAGAATATAGAGCATTAGAGTATGGATGGAGGAAAATACAGACAGCCAGAAGCCTGG